CCATAAAGTATATATATTCTTGATCAGCATGACGAGAGAAATCGATCTAGACATGTCCGTCCGTCTGTCTGTCCGTCCGTCTGTCCGTCCGTCTGGATGAACGCGAGGATCTCAGAAACTATGAAAGCTAGAATAACCAAAGTTGGCATCCAGATTCTCCTAGGTCCGAGTAAGGACGAGTTTATTTTTTTTTTTTAATTTTCCCCCCCCTTTCCCCGCTGCAGAATTTCGTCAATAGCGTCCACATTTCAAATGCTATCTAAACCAGACTTTGCACACATAATTTATATATAATTGTCTACTGTTGTTCAAAATTTTATTCAATTCGGTCAATTCTAAGAAAGGTTATTAGCAAAACAAATTCTCGCCAGTACAACCCCCCCAAACTGCAGCAACAAGTTCGCTCTTCTTCTTCCTCTTTTTGCTGCTGCTATGGGCGCATATAACTCAGTGACGGAAGTTTACCTGGGTACAGGGTATTACACTGTCGGGCTTGCTCGACTGTAGCGTTCTCTCTTGTTTTTAATATATATATAATAATATATATCCTTGTGTTGTGTCTGGCCGCTGTGTTGGTCGTTATTATTCCTGTTGAATAGTTTCAATTAATTATTAAACATGTAGCCTTCTGTTATGTTATGTTATTTATAGAATGAAAAAATACAACTCTTTCTACGCATTTCGAATTGCTTAACGATTTGTCTTTATCTCTTTTTGATTTTTAAATAATTTAGCAGGCTAGATGGCTCAACGTAGCTGAGGCGTTAATAGACATACAGTTGAAACTATAACGTGTTATTATTCTACATCTTTATTAAATAATAAAAAATAATAAAATAATAAAATAAAATAAGTGACGCATATCTACACATTTATTAAATTTGTTTAGAAATATTGTGAGCTAGAGATCTCCTACTGTTAACAAAAACCGCAAACTGAACTTTTTTTTAATTTTTGCTTTTTGGGAAATTGTGACACATTCAGCTATACACTCAGCTATACTACAGCTACTATGTAGGGCACTCTTTTCAGTGACTTTATTTTTTCTACTGCAATTTTTTACGTGTCTCTACATTCACAAAATAATTATATATGTAGTGTGTATGTCGGTATTTTGTGACCTCAACAGGCGTGCGTATAGGAATTCTTGGTTATTCCAGCATTTATTTTGTATTCGTTTTAGTGCCGAGGACATTTTTTTAAGTTCGTAAGAAAGAGGAGTGGTAAACAAAGTAATAAAAAAAAAGGAAGCAAGTCTATTTGTAGTAGGTTTCATTTCTTATAAAAGTGAAATTGCCCAATAAATAAAATGTATGAATGAATATTTATGGGGTTTTAAAATGAAATATTTTGTGAATGAGAATTGTTCCCGTGATAAGAAATGCCGGCACGTCTGTTTGACCGTTTGCGATCATGTCCATATTCAACATCGCTTAGGGGTTTTCCGGTTTCTTTTTCATGATTACGTTTAGCGATGTAATTTAGTATTTAATTATATTTAGTTGATAAATTGATCTGCAACTCTTACAATTTATATAATATATTTGTAAGAGAAACAACACATAATCATTTTTCCCAAGTTTTTTAATTACGGCGTATCCGCTTTTTCAAAGAATTTTAATTAATATTTTTATATAATATTATTAATTTGGTATTGATTTCAATCATATCAATACACAATCTTTTCTGTGATGGTGACGATTCCCGTGTTACCGGACGGAAATAGTTTGATTACTTCATAAGTAGTTTGTACTTCCCAAGGCAGACTATACCAAACAAAATAAAGTGGAAGATATAACATGAAGGCGTCCATTCAGACAGACAGGCTAAAGGACATGTGTCGGTCGATTAGTCTTTTGTCTCATGGCCGTTAATAAATTGTGTACTTCTTCAGGTTTAAAAACTTATGGAGCTTGTAAAAAAATGTTCAAACAAAGTATTGTATGAATGAGCAGAAAACAGGCTTAACTGGTGTGTCCACTTCGTTTTACTAAATTTGTTATAAATATAATAAAAAATAATACCTATGTATGTACTTATGTAAGTATATGTTTATTTTTCAATTGTTGAAAACCTAATTTTTCAAATTGTTGCTATCGGTAAGATCGTAGATCGTAGATATTGAATTGCAAGAATATTCGTTTTCAATTAAATTGAAGGTGCTAAATTATTTTTACATTACGAAATGTAGTACCACCAAACAAATATACAATTTTTATAATTGTTACAATTAGGCTCTTTAAAGAACGTGCATATTTTAGTGACGACATGAAAAATAGGCGAGTGAGTTACAAGCAACAACATTTTGCAACATAAATCTAAAGGTAATGTTAAAACATATTAAACAGAAGCCACAACAAGTGAGGCCATTCACACTTACCAATACAATGGCCCATTGACTTGATAGCACGGAGCGGCGGCGCTCGGCAATAGTCAAACCGAAAATCCCAAGGGGTTAGCAGTCGGAAGAGCGAACGAGTGAAAAAGGAAATGGCCGTATGTGGATTGTTGTGAATGTATTAATTGGTGCAGATAAAAGACAGATTTATTGTGGCTAAAAGTAGGAGCAGTCTATTGTGTAATGCTGGCTAGGCATGCCATGACTGGACTGAACTGTGAACTTGTGGCTCCGTGGCGAGGTCTTTTGGGACAGTGGCGCTACTGTTTCCATTTCCATATACCCGTAGTATATGCCAAGCATAATGTAATTAATGGCAGTAACAGGCCTAAAACAAATAAGAAAACTAAGCCAGCACAATATAATAAAGGAAAAAAAGCACACCAAATACAACTTTGTGCTTAAAAAATTATTTACTAACATGCAGCACGGACAAAAGGGGCTATAGAAAAAGTATAAAATGTTTGTTATTACAACATAATAGTTTTTTTTTCTAATCGTGAATAAGTAATTTATATATATTTTCAGTTGATGTCCATATTTATAGATGTACTGTCTATTATTTCTTATGCAATATTTGCTTTTTTTACTATTACTTTTTGTATTATTTTAGATAAGGGAAATATACTCAAGAGAACTTAAATACAGATTTGGAAGCTCAGATCTGCTCGCAAAGTCATAAGAAAAAGAAACATATGTTTTGTTCATACATAATGATCGCGTCTCGCATTTATATATAAGTACTCGTATATGTACAAGTATATATTTTCTTTTGGGCTAGCCCGACAATTTGGCAATACATCAAAAATGGACGAAAAGTAAAATGGATGTGTCCGCAACAACAAAACTAATTTGTGCAGGTGTGAAAATGCTGTGATCAGCATTCGAACTTGATCCGTAAATACAATTGCTGCCACTTGGTCTTACTCTTGCCCTTTTGTTGCGACCTGTGATTATTTATTTATATTATTAAACATTTCTCATTAAGATTATGCTGTCTGCTAAGCGTAATCTTTTTAGCTGGCGCATTTATAATGCTGTAGATGTGAGGTTCTTTTTTGTTTTTATTTTCACGTCGACCATGTTGTTTATTTATCGAGCGTCTTGGGAATTTTGTAGTTCTTTTTATTTCGTATTTTTACTGGCACACACATAACATAGCTGCTCTTTGTGAGTGATTTTAAAAATGTTTGCGCCTGTTCTTTGAATTGGATTGAATTGTGAAAATTACGTGAAAATTGTTTTCCTTGCATTTCTTACTAAGCGATCATTTACATTTTTACGCGTGTGTGTATGCACAGGTTTAATTAAAATCAAATATTTGGCATAAATTTGATTAATTTGAAAAGCAACAATAAGTTGTGGATTATTAAGCCAGACGTTTGGGCTGACCTTCAATTAGAAAAGACAAAGGGTATGTTATCAATAAACAGATTCACCAAACGCAACGCACGCACCGTTGGCCACGCCCACAGTGTGTCAAACACGCTAATTTACTGTTACATTATTTACATATATACTCAGCTATACACACACACGCATATAAGGATATCTCTGTGTGTGTGTAGCATGATAAAACTGAAAGGTTGGCTCTTGGCAGGGGGCGAAGGCAGCGTTTCCTACATATAGTAAGACAAAATAAACGAAGTCTTGCCCAATAGCCAGCCAACAAGGCGCATGAGCAATGCTTAACTGCTGGCAACATGCTGCTAGCAACATGTTGCTAATTATATAAATGACGGCGCTACAATAACGTTAAAGGCGTTTAAAAAAGTAGTAAATGAACATTTAAAACTATATATTGTTTCAATAAAAGCTTAAAAATTCCTAAGAATTAACTGAAATTATTTTGATAATTCAAAATTAGTGCGAAAAGGCAGGGGCATCAATGAATGATGCGAATAGCATCCACAAAGTTTCCCGCCAATTGCAAGCGAAACCGAAGTGTATACAAACAAACGCACACACACACACACGCATGCATATATACACAGACATGGTCTAACAACCCCGAAAAGCCACAAAGCAAACAAGGCGGCAGGCAATCAAGCAGGCGGGCTGGCAAGCGGAGAGCAAGTATGGGGGGAGCTGTCGTTTGCCTTTCGTACGGTAAAAGCGGAAAATCTGCAAAGCTGAACTGAAACCAAAAGCCGGCAAGCTGGCTGCTTCTCTACCGCCCGCCCCTACACTCTCCCTTCCAACGTAGGAGAAGGAACACACACAAATGTTATTTACACTTTGTTTTGCCGGCTTTTCTTCTGCACAACGCACGATGCCGAACAGCTCGGGCGTTCGGCAGACCCGAACAATCCGTCCGAAAGCGCCTCGTGCCTGTCAGTTGTCGGGTTCACCATTTGTCCGGCTGGTTCTTCAGTTGGCAACGGCCTAGACGCTGACACGGACGTGTTTCTCGCAATCTCTCGACTCGCGATTATCTCGCTTTCCCTAGCTGGGTCAAAAGTGTTTTTGAATTGAGGTGCCACTAAAATTGCTGAGTGTCTGTGTGTGCTTATTTTGAGTTATCATCGCGATTGCAATTAGTGCCGCAAATTTTGTGCAATGGATTGAAAAATTGCTTGGCCAAAAGAATTGAAAAATTGTAAAAAGAATTTACCTTCAAATCTAGTGGTGGAATAAGTATGTTCTTTTGAGTGTTGTGAACAACAAAACAACTAAAAAACTATTTTCGAAAAGGTAATGTTTATCATTCAAGAAATAACCTAGACCAACAATATGAAAACTGTCAAACTTTTGCTAACGTCACGCACTTTTTTACGTCCCACAAATAGTCGACACAATGAGGTATAGAAATAAAAGCGAATTCTGAGTAGTTTTTGTCGTTTTTCAAACCACAGCGTGACACAACCCGCCCATGTTAATTAGTAAAGCAAAACAGACAACAACAGCAACAAAAGAAGGCAGCAACACAGAAAATCCATCCATCATTCAATTCAACATTTTGTTTGCAGCACCAACATAAAATTGTATGTCTATATAGCATTTTTCTTTTGCCTTGCATTCGAAGCCTCAGAATATACATACGAATACATACTTGTATGTGGACGTGAATGCAACACACTGCAAAACAAATGTGCATTAATTTTAATTTTCGGAAGTGAGAGAAAAACAGCACCTAATGCACATGTGTTTTCTTCAAATAATTTTTTGTTTCGGCCCGATCAGGTCCGAGGGCTGACGCAAGTCTGTTTAGCCAGTGGGCGCGATAAACAATCAGCTCTGCTTTGATTTCAGCCAAGAGGCCATAAATATTTATGCAACTGGGCGCGCTGTATAAATATTCGTACTGAAGAAGTTGGCTGTGCAAGTGGATCGCGCGAAAACTTCTGCTCGCAATCATCATCAAAAGGTAGCCACATCAATTACGAGTATATTCCACAGTTTATCATCGGAAATTGTTTATGCAATTGCTGAAAATTTTGTTGTGACGCCTACTTGCAGCTCCCCCTCAATTAACAAGGCGCATAAAAACTTTGCCTAGGCCAATCCTTTCCATTGCAAGCCCAGCGGTGACGAGGAGAGGGAAAAAGGGTTCCATTGTTTTGATGTTATCTGCTGAGTTTGTTGTCAAGCTGGTTGCTGTTGTTGCTTATACTTTGCTTATGCATACATACAAGCATATACTACGTTATTTTGCATGTTGGCTAACAGAATAATTGACAAAACAAATCATTTATGTGGCAAAAGTTTTCAGACTCGTCCCCAGTCTGGTTAAGCGGTAAAGTACACGGCGGCAAAACACGCAACATGTTTGCTTTTAATGCAGTAACACGGGAGGGAACAGTTGAAAGGCCTGCTGAAATATAAATAAATACGAGTAGTAGTATAATAATGAGACAAAGTGAATGACAAAGTAGCAAATGGAAGGAAAATTAATGAAGACAGTGCAAAAATAAATTCATGGTAGTGTACGGCTAATTGTAGGAATTTTTAATAACTTATTTTTGAGGGATCGGGACAACACAGTTTATGCCGAAAGAATTTTTACTGAAATTAAAAGAGGATATACAAATAAAAAGCGAGTAGTTACAATTACAAAGTAATGGAAAAAGTGTAAAGAAGTCATTAGCTTTAAATCATAATTTTCTGTTTCGATTATTTGAAAGAATACGTTGCGAAACGGAACTGTTTCGATGCCAATTTTTGTGTAGTAAAGCGCATAGTGCTCCCAATTTAATATTCACTTTTAAGATCTCTTCAGATGTTGTAGTAATTGTGGTAGTTGGAATTGTAGTGAATCCATTATTATAGAGTTTTCAAATTAACTAAATTTTAATGCAAAATCCAAATCATTACTGAAGAATTGTTATGTGGGAAACCCCTTAGTCCTTAGTGATATATTATTTGCCTCTTCATTATGTTATTAGAGCAAAAATATAATATAAAAATGTACTTCAAATGTGTTGAAACAATTCAAAACAGACATTTATGATACAATTTGAAATTATAGTATACTAGAAAAAATATCGGTATCATTAAAAACTCAGTAGTTAGTCTCAAATAATATTAGTTTTGTAAAATTACGAAATGTTTCTTTTCTTGTGTAAAAGCCCAATAATATTATGTATTATTGAAAAAAAGGGTAGCAATTTTGCTTGATTGTGGAAAAGTCACGTTCCCGAGTGAAAACAAGACACAGTTTGTAAGTCAAGCCAACGCGAAAGTGCTAAAAGTGTATGTGTAAAAAAGGAGATAAAGAAGAATGAAATTGTTTTAATAATAATATTTCTCAGGATAAGACGATTTCCATTTTAAAATTAAGTAGAGAATTTATTTTCGTTGATTATAAGTTTGGTTAATGCGGACTAAGCCGTTTTCAAAATCTAGTTGATCAGACGGGCAGAAATGCTTTCTTTAACCTGATAAATGCATTTACATTAACCTAATGTTAGCTTTTTACCGTTACCGTTAGAAATGTAGAAAATATATAAATATACATACATATATATATATAGCTTAACAGAACTGAACAAATTTTAATTTCTGCAGAACTAACATTTAAGCTCTGGCTGGATATTCTATATTCAGTATTGAAACAAAAGTCCTTTAGAAAACAAACCACCGTTTTATTAATTATTTTTTATTTGACCCACCTGACCTGGAGTCCTTTTGGTAATCGATTCAATCTGATCACGATCATTAGGCGTGTATGCATGTTTCAAAGATATCATCATACGGATAACATTAAGAGAAAGTTAAATATTTTATCGCGATGTAGGGTTTTTTAAAAATCTACATCCAGGAAACCCTCTCAAATAAATAGCTCTTCCATCATTTGTCTGCCACCACATACATATACATATGTACCCCGATGTGTATGAATGTAAGTATGTGCGAATACAAATCGGAAATCAAAACAAATGTAAATGCCATTTAAGCGTAATTCAAACCTTATTATAGGCAAAAGAATAACCGCAAACCCAATCTGTGGCAACGACCATGTTTACATTGGGCTTGCGGTTACAAGCCGCACAGTCAATTGGTTGATTTGCACACACATCCATACATTGTGTGTGCTGTTTGGCTGATTGGTAGGCCGAACATGTTAACATGTTGTTAAACGCGCCCACAACGAGCAACGAAATTTTTACGGCCTGTTTTTGGTAAAAATCCCAACATTTATGGCTATTAGTTTTGGCTTATTGCTGTCGCGTCACACTTTAGTGGCGATCAATGGCGCGCTTACATGACACGTAGAGGCGGAGGTGGGGGAGAGGGAAACAAAATGTTAGTTGAAGTGTCGTCTACACTCACATTTTTATAGCCATTGCGGCAATTGTTTATTAAAATCGAATTTGCGACTTCTTGCCAACGCACGCAAGCCAAATAAAGCGCCTAATTTTATGCAGCAATTTTATTGCCCCCAGTCAATGGTTGCTAGTATAAGGCAAATAAATATCTACATGTATACGTACATATGAGTATATGTTAGGAATAGGAGGGGACTAGACTAAACAATGGCATCTGCATTGTTGTCTTACAATTTGGCAATGAACAAATAAATAAATATCTGGCATATGCTTTAAGATTAAAGTCTTGGCGCACAAAAAACTTATTGCGTTTCAAACTGGGCCAAGAACAATTTCCTAAGCGCAATCATCGGACAATGGGGCACATGTGGCGCTCTCTTGGTCTAGGAAGTGCTGACTCATGCCCAGTTCGCCAAATACTCGAACATTTCTCAAATTTGCAGCTGGGCTGTTTATTTATTTATGTGCACGCCTAATTTATATTTGGTGCTAATTACAACCACAGATGCCAAAAACCAACAGAACCGGCAATAAAATGTGTTATAATATTATTAGGCATTACAACTGCAATTGCATTGTCGTGAACATTTTCTCTTTCTTTGTTCAACCATTAGCGTATATTGCGAAAGCAAAGGAATGCCGCACTTGTATGTATCGATGTGTTGGTATGTAGAGAACGTTTACAATTGCAAATGAGAAAATGTATTGTGATTTGTGCCTCAAACAGTTGAACGAAATAATTGTGTAGAGCCCACCTGAACGTCGACCCAATAAATTGCAATCGTTTTGGGAACAGCGGCATCAAACCGCTTCAATTATATCGCTCGTATTAACTAAACAAAACAATTCGAAAGGTGCTCCAAATATGAATTTAGGCGAGGGTGGTACATAAGTTAGTACAATAAATTATTAATAGATTTCCCGCAAGCATAAATAAGAAACTTTCACAATTTAAAACTATTTTCACTAAAAGATAATGGTTAATAATTGTAAGTTATAGATGCATGGAAAACATTGTATGTTTCTTAAACCCAACTAATTTATCAATATTAATGGAGTATAAAACTGGATGCTTGTATTTGATTTTCAAAGAGTAATTTTTAAAATATATTGTCTTTTTTTATCGCATTAGTTGACAAAAAAGATATTGGAAAACAACTGAATTTTTCAGTTCAACAGACCACATTATTTTTATTAAACATATAAAAAAATGCAATTGTTTACTAATTAGTAAAGCGGAGTAATCTCTGAGTGATGAAATTAAATATATTAAATGTATAAATAAAATTGAGGGCTCGATTTAATTCATTATACAACTATTTTCAGTTATTTGCCCCACTTACCTATTTCTCGCTAGCAAAAGAAGTTGTTTTTAGTAATAGACGAAAAAATTATGTGAGTTTTTGGGAGTGTTATTGCCATTGGCAAGATAGAAGATATACAAATATTGGTGTAGATAAAAGTGCAAAAATAATGTTGCTACATCAACAATTTCTATTTGTCTGTGGGACTTGTTTCGTAAACATTCCATAATTTAAAAATCGCTCTTTCTTTGCAAGATTTTCGAACTTTAAGAAAACATATTAAATATTTCGTGGCCAAATGGCAAAATACTATACTAGTTCGTGAGAATTACAGAAATGCTCTCTGAAGGTATCAAATGTAATGGGGAAAAAATTAGTAAACTTCTCAACTTCGGGATATTAGGTATCCTAAGTTTTAAAAGGACTACCAAATTCTATGCCAAGGGAAAAATCCGTGCTTTAACTATATTGTTGAAGTCTCGAAAATCTGCCCTATCGTCGTTTCAATCCTGTTTCTCTTTTAATTTTACGAGTACATATATGAACGACTTTAAATCAATATGCTCTACATCTAAAAGATTCTCTCTCTCTCTCTCTCTCTCTGTTATATTTTATTGATGTC